TTTCTTTGGTTGTATTTTAACTAGTGTTTAACTAAATTGTGTTTTGCTTAACATCGAGTAACTTGACCAGTCGCATTGCATCTGGAACAGACACTTTACATTTTCCTTTAAAATAAGAAAAAGTGAGGCTCTAGGCTATCTTCTTAAAATATTTTGAGGGGGTCTGGTCTGGTCCATAACACAACAGCTCTTATTGTGACTGTTGACTTATTGTGTGGTATCTTACATTTAGAAAAAAAAGTAAAGGTCCCTACTAACCACTCCTTTATCTATTGTTTCGGGCCTAGATCCTTTATCTACCGTGTTGGTTATTTCTTCAAATAAACTTTTCAAACAATGTTTCCCTTCCATAAAACTGGGTTGATTTGTTTTAATTATACAATATATGGACTTATTGGACTGAAGAGTCTGTTTTGGTGCTGTATGACTTCAAGACTCTATAAGTGCATTGTCAAGACATTGTTCATAAATAACTCTGGCACTCCCCGGTGATGTCAAACTAACTGGCCAGAAGTTTCATCATTGTATGGTCTCCCTCTCTTCTTGAAGAGCAGAGTTACATCTGCTAATTTTCAATCCTCTTGGACCATTCTATCATCGAGGGAATTATGAAAAATCACAACCAGTGCATATCTATTCATACATCTTTTAGAGCCAAGTGTTATCGGTAGAGGGACATTGGTCAGCTTTTCATAGAATCATACAGCATAGAAGAGGGTTCTTCACCCATCTAGTCTGGACCACTAAATCTACACTAGTCCCATTTTCCAGCACCAGGGCAAAAGCCTTGAATGTTATGACATTTCAGGTGTTCATCCACACAATTTTTAAAGATTGTAAGGTTACTCACCTCAACTACCCTACTTGACAGTGCAATCCAGACTTCCACAACCCTCTGGGTGAATAATGTTTTCCTTAAATTCTGTCTAAACCTCCTGCCTTTCACTTTAAAATTATGCTCCCTTGTTATTGACCGTTTGACTAAGGGGAACAGCTGTCTTCTATTCATCAGATCCATGCCCCTCATAATCTTATATGCCTCTATAAAGTCCTCTCTCAATCTTCTCTGCTCCAAAGAAAACAATCTCACCATTGCTGAAATGCTCCATCCCAGGTAAGATCCTGGTGAATATCCTCTGCATCCCCTCCAGTGCAATCACATCCTTCATACAGTACGATGACCAGAACTATCTGCAGTACTCTAGCTGTGACCTAATCAAATTTCTGTACAGCTCCAAATTACCTCCCTGCTCTTATAATCTATGCCTCAACTGACAGAGGCAAATGTCCCATATGCCTTCTTAATTAACCTATTAACCTTCCCTGCCACCTTCAGGGATTTGTGGACAAACACCCTAAGATCTCTCTGTTTCTCTGAGCTTCCTAGTATCCCGTTATTTATTGAGTATTCCCTTGTTTTGTTCCTTCCTCAAAACTCCATCACCTCACATCGATCAAGGTTAAATTCCATCTGACAATGATCTGTTATCCATTTATATCCTCCAGTAGCCCAAGATCTTCTTTCTCACCTGTCAACCACCAAGTCAATCATCTTGTCATCCGTTAACTTAGTTATCATCTCTCACCACACTCATCTACATCATTTGTATTTGTCACAGAGTCCCTACAGTGAGGAAGCAAGCCATCCACCCATCGGGTCCACACCGACCCTCTGAACAGCATCCTACCCAGATCCATTACCTACTCTATCCCTGTAACTATACATTCCCTATGGCTAACCCACCTAACATACACATCCCAAGGCACTATAGGCAATTTAGCATGGCCAATCCACATAACCTGCACATCTTTGGACTGAGAGAGGAACCTGGAGCACCCAGAGGAAACCCATGCAGACGTAGAAAAAATGTGCAAACTCCACATGGACAGTTGTCCAAAGGTGGAATCGAACCCAGTTCCCTGGCGCTGAGAAGCAGCAGTGCTAACCACTGAGCTACAATAAAGGGACCCAGTGGTACAACTCTGTGCAGGCTTCTACCACTCTCCTCTGTCTCCTGCCACTAAGCCATTTTGGATCCAACTTGCCAAGTTATCTTGGATCCCAGATAACAAGGTGTAGAGCTGGGTGAACACAGCAGGCCAAGCAGCATCAGTGGAGCAGGAAAGCTGATGTTTCGGGCCTAGACCCTTCTTCAGAAATGGGGGAGGGGAAGGGGATTATGAAATAAATAGGGAGAGAGGAGGAGGCGGATAGAAGATGGATAAAGGAGAAGATAGGTGGAGAGGAGACAGACAGGTCAAAGAGGCGGGGGTGGAGCCAGTAAAGGTGAGAGTAGGTGGGGAGTTAGGGAGGGGATAGGTCAGTCCAGGGAGGACGGACAGATCAAGGGGGCAGGATGAGGCTAGTAGGTAGGAGATGGGGGTGGGGCTTGAGGTGGGAGGAAGAACAGGTTAGGGAGGCGGGGACAAGCTGGGCTGGTTTTGGGATGCGGTTGGGGGAGAGGAGATTTTGAAGCTTGTGAAGTCCACATTGATACCATTGGGCTGCAGGGTTCCCAAGCGAAATATGAAGTGCTGTTCCTGCAACCTTCGGGTGGCATCGTTGTGGCACTGCAGGAGGCTCAGGATGGACATGTCGTCTAAGGAGTGGGAGGGAGAGTTGAAATGGTTCGCGACTGGGAGGTGCAGTTGTTTGTTGGGAACCGAGCGTAGGTGTTCCGCAAAGCAGTCCCCAAGCCTCCGCTTGGTTTCCCCGATGTAGAGGAGGCCACATCTGGAACAGCGGATACAGTATACCACATTAGCAGATGTGCAGGTGAACATCTGCTTGATGTGGAAGATCTTCTTGGGGCCTGGGATGGGGGTGAGGGAGGAGGTATGGGGGCAGGTGTAGCACTTCCTGAGGTTGCAGGGAAAAGTGCCGGGTGTGGTGGGGCTGGAGGGGAGTATGGACCGGACAAGGGAGTCATGGAGTGAGTGACCCCTGCGAAAAGCAGATAAGGGTGGGGAGGGAAAGATGTCTTTGGTGGTGAGGTCGGATTGCAGATGCCGGAAGTGTCAGAGGATGATGCGTTGGATCCGGAGGTTGGTGGGGTGGTATGTGAGGACGAGGGGGATTCTGTTTTGCTTGTTATTGCGGGGGAGGGGTGTGAGGGATGAGTTGCGGGAAATGCAGGAGACACAGTCGAGGGCATTCTCGACCACTGAGGGGGGGGGGATGTTGCGGTCCTTGAAAAATGAGGACATCTGAGATGTTTGGGAGTGGAATGCCTCATCCTGGGAGCAGATGCGGCGGAGGCGAAGGAACTCGGAATAGGGGATGGCATTTTTGCAGGAAGGTGGGTGAGAGGAGGTGTATTCTAGGTAGCTGTGGGAGTCGGTAGGCTTGAAATGGATATCGGTTTCCAGGTGGTTGCCAGAGATGGAAACAGAGATGGAAGGAGAGAGAGGTATCAGAGATGGTGCAGGTGAACTTAAGGTTGGGGTAGAAGGTGTTGGCGAAGTGGATGAACTGTTCGAGCTCCTCGTGGGAGCACGAGGCTGCGCTGATACAGTCAACGATGTAACGGAGGACGAGGTGAGGTTTAGGGCCAGCGTAGCTACGGAAGAGGGACTGTTCCATGTGACCTACAAAGAGGCAGGCATAGCTTGGGCCCATGCGGGTACCCATGGCCACCCCCTTTGTCTGTAGGAAGTGGGAGGAATTGAAAGAGAAGTTGTTAAGGGTGACAAGTTCAGCTAAGCGGATGAGGGTATCAGTGGAGGGGGACTGGTCGGGCCTGCGGGACAGGAAGAAGTGGAGGGCCTTTTGGCCATCTGCATGGGGAATGCAAGTGTATAGGGACTGGACGTCCATGGTAAAGACGAGGTGTTGGGGATCTCCAGCATCTGCAGTTCCTACTATCTTGGATCCCATGTGCTTTTACCTTCTTTATCAGTCTCTCATGTGGGATTTTGTCAAAGGCTTTTCTGAAATCCATACAAACTACACAATCTGCCCTCACATTTTGGCCTGTTATGTTTCTCTGATACTGCCAATATGTATTATTTTAAGTTCCTCACTTTTATTAATCCCTCAGTCATCTTCGATTTCTGGTCTGTAATTTGTATCTTCTATTGTAAAGACAGACACAAAGTATATCATTTATTTCAACCACTTTTTTTTGTATACTGGCAGTTTTTACAATCAATTTTCTAACTCGGACTAGTTTACTCACTCCATTTTTCCCTCTTCTTTATCAACCTTTTTGTCATCTCTTCCTGGTTTCTAAAACTCTTGACTAATCCACTGAATTACTGCTAATTTTGGAACATTACAAGCCTCTAATTTTAATGTGATACTATCATTACCTTCCCTAGTAAGCCATGGATGGATTTTTTTGGATTGAGATTGTGTTTATACATTGAATGTATTTGGGTGAGTATTTAAATACAAATAAAAAGAAAGAAGTATTTAAATCAGTAGAAACAGAGAGAGATAACATTTCAAGTCCCATAACTCTTCTTCAGAACTTGAGAGGAGTCATGGGACTGGAAACATTAATTGTTTCTCTCTCCACAGATGCTGCAAGACCTGCTGAGTTCTTCCAGCATTTTCTGTTCTTATCTCAGATCTCCAGCATCTGCAGTATTTTGCTTTTACACACTTTATTCTATTTGCCCAATCAACCTATGTCAGCTATCCCCTCAGGCCAATGTAACTGGTTTTAAGACTTCTGTTTGAGGCTCAAGTACGTAATTCTCAAAATTAACATGGAATTTAGTTATACTATGGTAATGATTTTTTTCTGACAAGATATTTTATTGTGAGATGACTAATTAAGTGTGCCTCATTCCATTTCTAAAATAGTTTTATCCCTACCTTGTACAACATATTACACCAGGAAACTGCCATGTTCCTCACCTTCCAGTCTACATTTGCCATTGGGCTACTGAAGATGAAATACAAGTTTCTTTCATTAACTAAAGCAGTGTCAAGCTGACTCAAGAGTCCACTGACTGCTCACCCTTCATACTGGGTCAGAGAAACCATCACTCACCTTTCCGTTCCTCTTCAGAGATGTCATGTATCTTCCGCTCCACGAAGTCTGCGTATGATGCTGCATACCACACCTGCAAGTATATAGATACAAGTCTTAGAAGCATAGTCTATTGGTCATGGTCAGCATGACCCCATGAGCTTCGTAGCAGTCCTCTGCATTTCCTTTCCACAATGAGTCACATCTTTATCATCCAATTAGGTATTTCAACCGTAGCTTTACAAGGATCATTAGACCATTAAGACTATTTAACTCATTGTGTCTGCTCTGCCATTCAAATCATGGCCTGCTGCAAACTCTGTGCTACGTATCCCATGCTTGATAGGTAATAAACATGAACACAACACAATTATATCCATATCATATTTGTGAAATGCCAACTACAGCAAATCATAACTTAAATAGTGCAGAATAGAGCAATAAGCCAGCAGCAAGAACACAATCTATCAATCACAAATTTCGAATATTGTTCAACCAAGCTATTTAGTCAACAAATAGCTACAAATAGCAAGGAATGAAATAAAGAACTGATAAAATTGTTTCCAATACATTTTCAAAATCTGATTGGCAGCCATTTTGTTTTTGCAATAGCATCTCAGGTAAATAACCAGATGACTTTTTTTTGCTAAGTCCTCATGACGGTTTTCACCATGGCACAGAACTGGGATTAATACATTATTTATTCAGTCTCTGAATTAAAGTGGCCTCAGGTACTATTCTGCGCAGAACAAACTGCGTGACTGAGACTCAAATTCAATTTCACGAAAGGCTTAGATTTGAGTTGATACTGGGTACAGAGGTTGGTTCTCAAAAGAGGAAGTTTGGAAATGAAAACCACTTTTTCAGATGAAATGTTGTAAATTGCAGTTATTTTTCAGAAGAATGGCTGAAACCAAGCATGTGTAGGATGGAGATAAGAAAACTGTAGATGCTGGAATCCAAGGTGGACAAACAGAAGGCTAGAAGAACACAGCAAGCCAGGCTGCATCTGGAGGAACGTCGACTGCTCTTTTCCTCCAGATTCTGCCTGGCTTGCTGTGTTCTTCCAGCCTCCTGTTTATCTACATATGTGTAGGTACAATCCCTTACTTGAAGTTCTGTGAAGCTGAAAAATCGGAGAAGTATGAGCATCCTGACCAAAGAAGAAAACAAGGTGCAATTTGGCATTGTTGCTTCCAATGAAAAGCAAAACCAAGTGTAAAGTATTCTCAGAGCTGGATCCTCCAGATGGTTCAGATAATTTATTAACATTTTTGGACAAAATTTATGAAAGAGATGATCATGTTCATACTCACTTAACAGGTCAGACTTTGATAAATTTAGAAAGCTGGAAAGTTATTACGCATAAGAATTTTTTTCAATTAATTCATGGATGTGAATCTTGTTGAGTGAGCCAACATTTATTGTCTATCCCTATTGAACCGGGGATGACTACAGAGAGCTGCCTTCTTGAACACTGTGGTTCTTGGGGTGTAAATACACCACAGTGTGGTTAGGGGGAAGAGTTCCACGATTTTGACCCTAGCAGCAGTGAAGGAACAGCAAAATAGTTCCAAGTCAGGATGGTATCTGGCTTGAAGGGGAACTTGCAGGTGATGGTGTTCCAATGTTTCTGCTGCCCTGATCCTCCGTATTACCAGAGGTTGCAGGTTTGGAAAGTGCTGTTAAAGGAGCCTTAGTGAGTCACAGTAATTTACCTTGTAGATGGTACACACTGCTGCTACTGAATGTCAGTGGTGAACGAACTGAACGTTGAAGGTAGTGGATGGAGTGTCAATCAAGGCCGCTTTGTCCTAGGTTGAATTCAACAGACCATATGCAAGACTGCAAAAAAATCTATTTGAAGAATCCTAATTCAATGCTTGCTTTTAAATTCTTGGGCTGTGCCAAGGTGTCAAACATGGACAGACTCCTGGTCGTCACTGACATTAGACATTCAGAAAGAAGCATGCTTTTGGTCCAAAGTCTGAAAAAATATTTCTGGGAAAATGTTCCTTCCCAGCAATGTTCATGGTTCTTGTGGGGCATTCAGCATCAGCAGTTACACAGAGAGAATGGAGAGCTCAATAGTGGCAACGGGGAGTTTAACCAGATATAAGTCACAGTGACAACATGGAAGAAGTGAGGAAAGAGATACATCAGGCAACGTATATCTATAATAGTGGCAGAAACTGGGGAACAATAACAGTAGAATAACCTCAAATGTCAGGGGAATGGTCAACAGGTGTTTTAGGTGTGACTTAAGATTGCATACTGCTGTGATAAACCGAAACACGATAAGACTTTTGAAACTATGCATGGCACAGAGGTTCGGCAGGACAGAATCGTGAAGCTGATCGTCAGGCAAAATTGTACTAGTGTAATCACATCCTTCCATTAGTGTGATGACACTGCACATAATATTCCATCTGCAGCCTAACCAATGCTATACAAAGTTGTAACAAGACTTCCTTGCTCTTATATTCTACGACCTGGCTAATGAAGGCAAGCATCGCATATGCCTTCATCACCGCCCTGTTTACCTATGCTGATACCTTCAGAGATCTATGGACTTGCATACCAAGGTCCCTTTGTTCCTCAGTACTCCCGAGGGACCGACCATTCATGCATAAATCTTTCCTTCATTAGGCCTCCCAAAATGCATCATCTCACAATGACCAGGATTAAATTCCACCTGCCATTGCTCTGCCTAATTTGCCAGCTGATCAACATCAGGCTGTAGCCTGAGACCATCCTCCTCACTATCAACAACAATACCAACTTTCATGTCATCTGCAAACCTACTAACTATAACTTCTACATTCACATCCAAGACATTAATGTACATAACAAACAGCAAGGGTTCCAGAAGCAATTCCTGTGGTGCATCACTGCTCTCAAGCTTTCAAATCATAAAAACAACTTTCCACCATCACTGTTTGCCAACTGGCCTTGGATCCCATGGGCTCTTACCTTTTGGACCAGCCTTCCATATGGACCTTGTCAAAGTCCTTACTGAAGTCCATGTAAAGTACATCAACTGCAATACCTCATCAACATATTTAGTCACATTTTCAAAACATTTGATTGAACTCATCAGGCAGGATCTCTCTAACAAATCTATGCTGACTATCTCTGATCAATTCCTGCCTTTCCAAGTTGATTCATCATGTCCCTCAAGAATTTTTTCCAATAATTTCTCTCCCGCTGATATCAGACTAATTGGTCTATAATTACCTGGCCTATCCCTGCTGCCCTTCTGATTTGATTTGAACAAACAAACTACATTAGCTATCCTCCAGTTATCTACCATTTCATCTGTGGCCAGCAAAGTATTAAATATCTCCGCCAGGCCCCCAACAATCTCCTCCCTTGCTTCCCATAGCAGCCTGGGACATAGGTCATCAGGCTTTGGGGATTTTTTGTACCTTTATGCCTGC